CCGCCACACATACAGACGGCAACCGATTGTCGTAATTTTGGATATCAGGGCGGCCTTCAACTCCATCGTTCGCCCCGCACTGTGGAACTGTTTGCGGAAATATGGAGTTCCGGAGAGGTATGTTTTGCTTTAAAGCACTCTATCGCCATACCTCGAGGAAGGTTAGGGTCTATGGTCACAATAACCTCATTCGCAACACCGGGTAATCTTCGGATAGACAGCTCCTTTAAAGCCAGTGAAGAACCCATACAATGAATCGATGTTAGATGCTACTAGTCGCAACAAATGTGACTTGAGTGTCTTTATTATTATGAAACATATACATATATGTATAACTGTTCATCCAGCAACCGAAGCCCCGAGACTTAGAGTGACGAAAACCATAACACATCACTAGTGAAAGTGTGGTGTTGTAACGGACAATGGCGAGGCTATTATTATTTTATTTTTTGACAACAAAAAGGTGAGAAGAGTATCAGTTAACCTTACCCATTTCAAGTAATTCCATGCATCATGCATAGAAACTGTTCAGGTCAATGCTGCTAGCGTGTATACAATACGTGATACAGAAAGCAGAGGGAAAAAACTAGCCGACATGTGAAACTCACCTTGTGGGTGTAATTATGAGAGCATAAAGAGGTCTGAGTTCGGTCATTAAAGACTGAATGATAGGAATGAGGAAAGTGGCTGTCTTTCCCGAACCTGTCTGAGCACAAGCTACTACGTCCAGACCTATTGGTATAAAAAAGGAACTGGTTTGTGTCACCTTCAAGGATGTGAGAAATGCATCCATTTTGCACGTCAGTGGGTTTTGTAATACCCTTATCCTTTAGAAGCTCAATTATCTCTGGGCATACGCCCAAGTCCGAAAAGGACATTTTGAATGCAATGCTGTAACGAAAACGTAGAAAGAACTTTTAGCATTAGTCTGAGAATACTGTTTCAAGGAAAATTGAAAAATAAAAAGGGGAAAAACAGACTGAAATCCGCATGAAATAAAATATTTATAGTGAATTTCGTCGGGTACAGCGCAAATCAGTTTCAGTTCAGTTTTTACAACCATCAACCAGGTACTTTCATGCCGCGATTTTGGTTGCTGTCTTTTGGCCGCCCATTTGGAAAAAAAGAGCAGAATGAAGATAGGAATGTTGAAGCCAAACTCAAGCGGAGGATAGAGAATTCATATAGACTGAGGTTGCAAGAATAATGAGTAGATACACGAGTGCCACTATTTGCGACAACCAGCCATATCGTTCAGTGTCTCTGATCAACGGTGACCATGAAATGAAACGTGAACCATAAAGATGAGGAACTCTGGATGGCTGTTTCGACTTGGATTGGTCTCATTGGAAGTGTAACTGGGGATGGAACTCGAGATTTTCCTTGTTTTCACTAATTCGGCAAGATTCACCCGGTTAAATGAATGTAGAAAAATAGCTAATTAAGCACAATGAAAACGAGGTTTTATAGAAGTATATATATATATATCATCATCATCATCGTACAGCGAGATACAGTGAAGCGAGCTTCACTGATCGCTGCCAAGCTCACAATGTACACAAATCAAATGATAAAGCACGAGATGGAGACGGATTGGGCCTACTTGGAGAGAGGCAAGGAAAAATAACCTCTATGTTCAAAACACAGAGCACACAACCTAAGTGTTCGTGAACATCTTTTTCAAGCATTCTGCCTTGTTAAGAAATGACAACAAGAGCGCCACTGCTGTCGGTCAGTCGCCATATCCTTTAATGTCTCCAGCCAACCAGTTGTAGAGTCTTTCGAACCCCAACCTGGAAGACGGGAGACACCGATTCTACCTAATCGCTCTGTGCATTTCTTCATGCCT